CGTCGGACTCAACATTTGCCCGATGTAATATGCTCATTCGTATTACACTGCCAACAACAGTCCACCGACTGTAGGGGCTCTCTTCAACAAGGAATAGAGTCGCCCCAATAATAAGATACAATCGGCATGCTCAGCACAGTACCAACCAATACGAGTCAGAGCTAACCCGACCGATGCCACCAGCCCTCTAGCATACGTCCAGTTTCGATTAACGTGGTGAAGTTTGGTATTGGTCGCCCTCCACGCGTGGCAAACGTCAGACAGAGCAATTCGACCGTCCCAAATGAAGTTGGCACATCCCCAAAGAAGAACATCATCATCCTTGGATCGAATTGATCATCGCGTCGAGTAGACATGTAGATCTTGAGCGAACCGTCCTGGGCAGCACTAGCCATCTTGCATGCAACTGTGGGCAGCTGCCTGAGCACAATCTACGACATTCCGCTCACCCCTGTGCCGTGATTTGCCGCAGGTAGCAGACCAGTGCACCACAGCACATCCATACGTTCGTGCACGGCTTGCCTGAGCTGCGCAACTTGGCCCCGCCCAGCTTGGAGCGCGCGTAACGTGACTTGCTCCTGCTCGCGCGCTGTACGCACACCATGTATATCATGTGATGCGTGGCTTAAACTGTTCTTTGCGTGTCTAACTTCCGACCTGAAACACATCTCAGCACCGATCGTGGTCGCCACACACCCCAATTTAGATTGTTGGGGGATTCGTCCCAGCGCTCGAACATCACCCCCAAAATTACGAACACACGTGTTGAGAACCTGCGCTTTGGAAGGAACAGGGCAGTGCCATTGTAGTATGACGTTATCCCCCAAAAAACGCGCGCGGCATGCTGGGGGGATGTATTGTTCTAGATGCCCACGGCACGGTTCAAAACTACCACAAGAACAATAGTTGCATTTGTACAGCCTGCTAGAAGTCGCTGCCGTGCTGTATTCATGCTGTTGATGCTCACGCACGCGCGCTCCGTGCGAGGGTCCAAGTCTGTCTGGAGGCCCATCCGCATGAGTCTGGGTTGGCAGTCCAGCTCACGCGCCCCACGCATGTTCATATCCCAGCTCTTGGTTTCGTTACTCTGGGGCATGCTCAAGAGTCCTGTCATAACGTGATGTTCGCGTGCATGTGAAGGCTCAGCCAGCAGAGTTAGTTGGATTGGGCAATATGGTGATGACCTCCCTTGTCCTGCCCCCTTGGATGACGTATCTCCCATGCAACGCTGCGGTGCCTGTATATTTCGAGCAGCGTATTCCGAGCAGCGTGTCCATGTACGCTGTCAGCCACGTGCCGCCACTTGGCTCGGCCACCATCCAGAAGTTCGTAAATAGCTGATCTTGAGGCCCGCGGAAACGCTATTCGCATTTCATGGAGAGATCCGTTGCTGCTTGTGGCCGCTCGCCGCTCACGAACCAGAGCTGACGAGGCAAAATTCGGATATGCCCGCGACCTGTGCGACGACCGAGTGCCATGTTCATCTTGCCTAGGTTCGGTCCATCCAGCACCAGCCGACGCTCCCACGAAGCTGAATCGCTCAGCACAGGACGCTGCTCAGCACCACGGAGACTCCACATCTGCTTCCACTCCTCCAGCTCCGAATCGGCCAGTTGCGATGGCGATGCGTGGTCCGGCGCCTCGAGCACCTGCTGAAACGTTAGACGTCGGGTAAGTATGCCAGCATCTCGACCTCCGTTCTTGGGATGCGCCTTCTGCCCGCGCGTGCCACTCCTGCTTGCTCCCAGTCGAGGGCGCCGCCTGCTCGAGCTGCGCATTCCCGATGATCTGCTCCAGCTTGGCTTCCACTTCGCCACCGCCGAGCCAAGAAATACTGCCGACCTTGAAGAAGGCGTTGGTGCAATTTTCCAGGTACCCCCGCATCTCCGTTGCACTTGAAACCCTAGAAACTACATGTTCAAAGTCGAGTACAACCCAACTCATCTTGTCAACCACTGTGTGCTTCACCTTCTTGTTCTTCCACGGGCTGACTCTTTCACTTTACCTCAACACCACCATCACCCTCTTGGATGACAGAATCTACGGCAAGGCCCTGGATCCTGAACTACAAGGTCTCGAAGTACATGACAACACGTCGGATGTGTCTCACCCATCTCCCGGCAACGCGCCATGAATACACCTGTTCTTGTCCAATTGTTCGGCGGTCTTCTGGGATGCCAGTGGACTCGACCATGCTCGTGAAGACCCCATCTGGCGACAAGAATTTTGCCAGCTGGTCCTCAAATATGTCGCGCCGCCCAGCCAGCTCAATTTCCATGGCATTGACACCATGCCGCCGACGCAGTCAAAAACCCTCATCCGAGTCAGCCTGTGCGATTTGTGATCTCATCGATGCCGATTGCCACGAAGAGCGGACGGATCCAGGTTTTATGTCAGTCGGTAGCTCCTTCGCCTCTTACACTTTTTCGTGGGCAGGGTTTGCCCAGTCGCGGAGTTATTATGCAGTCTCTCTGTTAAATGGATGTCTGTGCCAGCGGCCTAGTTGACAGTGGGCCCTGGAACTACATGGCAACAAACCTGCTGAGACCAGACAAGAGTGTGTCATAGATCCTGGTCGACTATGCCTGCACGTGGTAGCATTCGAAGAGGTAACACGCACCCCGATACGATGCACCCGTCATCCCTCAACGTCGAACGGGCTCATGTGAAAATCACAACCGAGGGTCCAGTTGGTGATACCACCTGTAGGGTCCCAGTGTTTCTTAGCCGGTCAGATGTCCGTCCTTGGCCTTGGGCGTCGCCATGATTGTGATGTTGCTCTTGGCAAGGACCGCCACACTGGACGAGTTACTCCATGCGTCCGTCGACGTCGATGGCGCCCATATGCCCCAGCCAAGGGACTTCACGTTCATTTGGGCATCTCGCAGCTTCTCCGCCAGCACATGGTGCTCTTGCAAACGTAGCCCCTGGGCCTCACACTAAGGTAGGCAGTCCACCAGCTGCCCTGTGATGCGCAATTCAGTGTTTGAATTGATTGTGACTTGGTCATGGCAATGATCCAGCATCACCCGAAATCAGGAATCAGATATGCCCATCAATCATGCCAGAGTACGCATCTGCCCATACGGCTGCATACCTTCAGCAGCCTTCTTCGCTACCGCTCGAAGTTATTCTTCAACATCCGCGACTTGAGACCCCATAGCCTCGAGCAGGCTCTTGCTTGAGGATCGCAGGGCCCTCGGCTCCTTTGAAGAGGGGCTCAGGCGGGGCCATCGCCCCTGCCGGAGGTGTAGAGGCCGCTCCTCCAGCTGGCGCAGGTTGAGGCTCAGCTTGCTGTTCTATTGGTGCATCGGGCTTGACCTTCTCCTCTGCCTCGCGCAGTATGGCCATGCACTCCTGCAGCTCTGCGCCCAGCAGCTCGACCGATGTGCCCAGCTGCTCGACCGATGTGCCGACCGAGGCGATGTATGTGGAGAGTTCCTTCCCGCTGGGCGCCACAGGCTGCTCTGCAAGGACAAGCCTAAGTCCAGCATCTTCGGCAAGCGGTTGTTCACGAATATCCTGCAATGCCTCGTCCGCGTTCTCGACCGGCTTGGTGGCCTCTACTTCTTCTGGTTGACCACGTCGTGAGCCCTCCACTCGACAGGCTGCGCAGCTCGTAGCTTAGCTTTGCAGGCATCTCGGTGCTTCCCCATGTTTAACGGCTGCTCCTCGGCAAACTCCGAATTGGAGTTCTTGGGCAACGCTTTGAGTGCTGCCTCCGCCATGGGCAGCACCTCCTTGCAAGGGGAAGGGGAGGAGGGATATTCACAAGAAGGGGAACGATAAGGAACCGAACTTTGTACACCGATGTTTTTTTCCGGTCCCGCACTGAGAGTCGCACAAGAAGCCGGATTCTGGTGCATACGGCATCCTGGTGTATACATGATCTGTCGCTTCCACGGGAAAACTTGGAAGCACGTATGCACCACACCACCCCGACGTCGCCCGCGACCTGAAAACAATCCTGGGGATTGCAAAGCAGCCCGCCACTGGTAATGTAACCCCAGGAAGCATTTAAGAACCCCCCCCCTCCGGCAAATCGATATCCCTTCCGCACCCTGGAAGCGTTACCTGGCACCAGGAGCCCTCCTTGTGTCCGGGTGCTACAGCTATCGTTCGGTTATTTCGGCCCCTCGGAATATCGAATAAAAAATGCGATGCTACGATATCGCCGGGGGGGTTCTTAAATGTTTCCTGAGGTTAATGTATACGTTCCAGTTGCCGAGACGAGGCGACTGCGCACGAGGAGCGTGCTCCCGAGCGAAGCTCCGTGGGCGCGCGGCTCGGCCGGTCTCCAAGGGCGCCTCTCGAGGGCGCGAAGTTATTCGCGCTCCGCGCTCCGCGGCTCGGCTCGGGTTCCTCCTCCTCCTCCTCCTCCTCCTCCTCCTCCTCCTCCTCCTCCTCCTCCTCCTCCCCCTCCTCCTCCTCCTCCTCCTCCTCCTCCTCCTCCTCCTCCTCCTCCTCCTCCCTCCTCCTCCTCCTCCTCCTCCTCCTCCTACTCCCCTCCTCCTCCTCTTCTCCCCCGGGCTTGGCATCGCTCGGACGTGTGCATTTTTCCTTCGGCGAGGGCCACCGAGGAGCATCCTTGATCATTTGGCAAAAAAAAACACGCACGAAGCCGATCAAAAACACAGGGAATGGACGTCCGAGCGATGGCGAGTGGGAGGCGGCGTGAGAGCGCGAAGCTAGTCGCACCTCGCGCTCCCGCACGGCGCGCGGCGCGCAGTTGGGAGCCCTCGGTGGGCGTGCGGCTCGGCCGGTCTCTCGCGGGCGAGGCGCGCCTCAGCCCGCTCCCGCCCGCCCCCGCCACTAAAACAGGGCTAGGGTCGGGATAAATCGCTCCAGGGCGTTCCAGAGCGCTCTCACAACGTTCCGGAACGCTCTGGGAGCGGCCGCGGCGCCCAGTACATCCTCCAAACCCGCCGACTCTCAGAGATTTCGAGTCCTCCCGATCCGATTTTGTCCCGATCTTCGCGTCGTTTTACCCGCCCCGGCAGGCGCAGTGCGACCTGCCCTCGTGCTCTGCGCCCTCCGCGGCCCGGCTGCCCGGGCCGCGGGCGCCGCGCGCGGCGCGCGGGGGGCGCCCTGGCCCGAGACAGGACGCCCCGTGGGGCTATCGGGGGCAGCAAAGAGGGGGGTGACGACTAGAAGGGGGTGGATATCATGGCGGGGGCCTTAGTGGGCCCTGGAAACGACAGGGCCGTTGTTTTACTGGTTCCGTTCTGCCGTTTTCATGCCGGTTCCGACGCCGGGTTTTTACCGGTTCCGTCGCCGTTTTTTGACCGGTTCCGGCTCCGGTTCCAATCCTGGAGCCGTTTTTGCTGTTGTTTCCAGTCGCCGTTTTTTTTTGCCGTTTCCATTTTCAAGGGACATTTTTTGGAAACGGTGAAAAAACGGCCCTGCCGTGTCCAGGGCCCACAAAGGCGGGGGCCATGAGATCTCCCCAGATTTCATGGCGCCTCTTCTTATTTCGTTGCGTCCCTGGCCCCCCCGCTGGGCCGCGCGCGTGCCGCCGGTCATGTTTTGCGCCCGAGACAGGACGTCCCGTGGGTCAGAGGAGGAAAAGGTACCCATAACTCTACCCTTCGCCTGTTTTCCCCCTTTTGGGCCTCCTCAGAGGCCCTCGTTGCCACCGCTGGATTCGCCCCGAAATCCTGGTCAGAGCGCACCCCGGGAGAGGTCAGGGGAGTAGCGGCATCGGTACCTTTTTGTCTCCCCAGTGGGGCTACGGTCGGGAGCTTGTGGTTCGCGTGGTGGTTGCACGTGCAGTCACGACGCCGAAAGAGGGAGCAGCTTGGGTTTTCGGAGGGGGCTCTGTGTTCCCGAAGTCTTTGCGTGGCCGTTTCTCCAGCGTCCCTCGTCCACGCAGGCGCTGCTGGTGCCCAACAGGGGCTTCGTTCCTTATCTCGCGATCTTCATGGTACTCTTAAGTGGGGCCCGTCCCTCTACAGGAGGAAAATCTAAAAATAGTCAAAAATAGTCTGGAGACTATTTTTTGAATATGTTTTGACCAGTTTGTGGGTATTTTGCATTTTTCGTCGAAGATCCCCCTGTAGGGGGACACGCATACTTAATGGTACTCGCAGCTTGACCGTAAGAATGGCCCTGCGCCAGAGGGAGCCTCGGACCGCAGCTCTCAGGGGCGCGGGGGGGCAGGCCCCAGCACTCGGGCCACAGCGGCCGCGTCGCGTGCAGCGATTGGCAGGCGCACACCCAAAGCTCAACCGTGCCTGCAGGTAAGTCGGGCCTGTCCCTCTACAGGTGGAATATCCAGAAATAGTCAAAAATAGCCAGGGGACGATGTTTTGACCATTGTTGGGTATTTTTCGGGAACTCTGGTGCGCGCCTGCCAATCGCATGCAGCGATTCGCAGGCGCGCACCAGAGTTCACTCTTGCCTGCGGTAAGTGAGCTCTTGTTGTCTAGGCTTAAGTCGGGCCTGTCCCTCTACAGGGGGAATATTCAAAAATAGTCAAACAATAGTCTGGGGACTATTTTTCACCATTGGTGAGCATGTTTGGGGCATTCTTGGGGTACTTTTATTAATTCCCAACCATCATGTGGTGTTGGGTCCTCGTTTTGAAGAGACGAAGCCCCGCGTTCCTCTCCTCCTCCTCCTCCCCCTCCTCCCTCTTCCCATCGTCATCATCATCGTCGTCGTCGTCGTCGTCGTCATCATCATCATCATCATCATCATCATCATCATCATCATCATCATCATCATCATCATCATCATCATCATCATTATCATCGTCATCATCATCGTCATCGTCACCCACGCCCATTTCGGCACACCCCTCATACGTTTCGTGGCCCCATAGGGAGCTCCACCGAAGGCCCCAGTGGCAGGGTCCGCATGCCTCCCCACCACCCATTTCGGCACACCCCTCACACGTTTCGTGGCCCCATAGGGAGCTCCACCGAAGGCCCCAGTGGCAGGGTCCGCATGCCTCCCCACCACCCATTTCGGCACACCCCTCACACGTTTCGTGGCCCCATAGGGAGCTCCACCGAAGGCCCCAGTGGCAGGGTCCGCATGCCTCCCCACCACCCATTTCGGCACACCCCTCACACGTTTCGTGGCCCCATAGGGAGCTCCACCGAAGGCCCCAGTGGCAGGGTCGCATGCCTCCCCACCACCCATTTCGGCACACCCCTCACACGTTTCGTGGCCCCATAGGGAGCTCCACCGAAGGCCCCAGTGGCAGGGTTCGCATGCCTCCCCACCACCCATCTCGGCACACCCCTCACACGTTTCGTGGCCCCATAGGGAGCTCCACCGAAGGCCCCAGTGGCAGGGTCCGCATGCCTCCCCACCACCTATTTCGGCACACCCCTCACACGTTTCGTGGCCCCATAGGGAGCTCCACCGAAGGCCCCAGTGGCAGGGTTCGCATGCCTCCCCACCACCCATTTCGGCACTCCCCAACACCCATTTCGGCACACCCCTCACACGTTTCGTGGCCCCATAGGGATCTCCACCGAAGGTCGGGGGGAGCTTGAGACTCTGGTGACACATGCGTTGGCACGTCTGGGTGGCTATCGGGTGGCTGGAACCGTTGGGGTAATCCGTGGAGAATGGGCTGTGGAAGTCGCTTCTGAGGGCCCTGCCACTCCATCTCACGGTCCAAGTCCACGGGCAGAGCATCAGGTTTGACCCTTCTGCTTCCAACTCAGGGCGTCCCCAGTATATGAAGTGCGTCACCCGTACCTTGTAATTTTGTTCTCTATGAGTCCATGCAGTTCGTGTTCTTCGTGTACCCAGACCACCATTCCCGAGTTACATTGTCAGTGTCTTCGTCTCATATCCGTGCGGTACTCGCAGCTGCATATGGTTGGGTCCTTCGCCAGGCTAATTTTTCATCCAAAATCGGCCTTTAGGGCGACAGGCCCGACTTAAGCCTACAGTGAGTGGACTCTTGTTGTCTAGGCCTCCTAGATGGGTCCGAGCAGATAGGATCGGAGGGTCGCGCCGCATCGCCGATGCATCGACGCTGCGGCTCGATGCAGACAATGTAGAGCCCGTGTTTCCTCACGCCGGCGTCGCCGATGCATCGCCGATGCATCGCCGACGTCGCCGATGCATCGCCGATGCATCGCCGATACATCGGCGATGCATTGGCGATGCGGCGCGAGCCTTCGACACCATCTACTCGGAACCCATATAGGAGGCCTCTATGCTGGTAGTGAAATTTGAATGAGCATCTCATATCGGGCAGATGTTGGGTCCAACGTCTTGTTCTCAACTTCGTGGCATCCGTGGCCGCTTTGGCTCCAGTGGCGCGCTCTCAGAGCGCGCCATGGCGTGGGCGGATGCCGGCTGTGGACCAACGACCGAGACGACGACGACCGACGAGGACGACCGACTGAACGACGACCCGACCAACCGACCGTCCGACCGACCGACCGACCGATCGACCGACGACCAGACCGAACGACCGACGACGACGACTCACGACGACCGATCGACCGACCGACCGACCGACCGACGACGACCAACGACGATTGACGGACCGACCGACCGACGGACCGAGACGACGAGGACCGACGGCGACGGCCGGCGGAGCGATGGACCGACAGACGAGCGCGCGGACTGACCCAGCTTGGGAGCGAGGCGTGGATAAAAATGCTAGGGCCCCCGTCCCTGGCCCCTCCGCCCCCCTCCTCCTGTTTTTTTGTCTTCCCCCAAGCCTTCCTGTGTGGGGTTCTCGTTTTGGACAGAGACTGGGATCTCCACCTGCTCCTCCTCCCCCCCCTCCTCCCTCCTCTCTCTTCCTCTTCCTACTCCTCATTGTTTTCCTCTTTCTCCTCCTCCTCCTCCTCCTCCTCCTCTTCCTCCGACGGGACCGGACACCAACACAACATCCCCCCCCGGCCGGATGCGAAGAGATGAGGCGTCGGGATGGAACAGCATCTTGCCTCCATACCGCTCTGGCTAGAGATCGGGCGACCTGCAACTGGGTCTCTTGGGTTCAAGCCTGGCCAAGCTATCGGGCCACGCGTTCCCCGAGTGGGTTTCGGAAGTTTTCCGGGGAACACGGAGTCGGGCGAGCTATCGGATCAGGTGGTTTCCGAGCTTTCGGGTCTTCCTGGAGGACGTCTTGGAGGACTCTTGGATCGTCTTGGAGGCATCTTGGGGGCCTTATGGGCAGTCTAAGGCCATCTTGAGGCCATCTGGGGCCGTCGTAGGTGCAGCTTGGGGCCATCTTCGCTGTCTTGGAGGCCTTCTTGGCCGTCTTGGAGGCATCTTGGAGGACATCTTTGCCGTCTTGGAGGCAATATTCGGCGTTTTCGGTGCCATCTGGGACCGTCTTGGGCTCTTCTTGGGCCCCTCTTGGGGGCCTCTTGGGCTGTCATGGGGCCATTGGGGAGGCCTCTTGGGCGCCCTTGGGACGATGTTGGGGGCCTCTTTGGCCGTCTTGGGCCGTCGGAGAGATGATGAGAAGAAAATGCCCAAATCCTTAGCACTTTGGGGGAAATCAATGAGTTGTGCCCTTTCGGGCCTTCCTGGAGGACGTCTTGGAGGCCTCTTGGGGGCCTCTTGGCCAGTCGTAGGCCATCTTGGAGCCATCTTGGGCCGTCTTGGAGGCTTCTTGGAAGAACTTGAAGGCATCTTGGACTGTCTCGGGCCATCTTGGAAGCCATCTTGGACCGCCTTTTGGCGACTTGGACGCCATCTTGGGCCATCTTGGAGGCCATCTCGGGCCAACGTGACGATCTTGGAGGTCCGTAGCCATTTTCGCTCAAGTTCTGTTGTCAAGTGAACCAGTTTCAGCTTGGTTCAGTGCCCCTTGTGTGCATGGCCAGGGTAGCCTTCGCAGTCGGGCCAGACAAAGTGACATCTAAATGCTACGTCAATGCGTGCGGCGCTGCATTGGCGGACTGGACCTCCGAGCATGCACTGTCGCATTGGTTACATTCGTTGTCGTATTTACGAGTTGCATGTGCTTTCAGCTTGCATTCGTGGACGCATTGAACCCGGAAGTGCGCATCGAAGATCATTCCCATGTGTACCCAACCGTTCAAGGCGAGGGCGACGGGTGGGGCACACGTACAAGCATCGTTGCGTATGACGCTGGCTTATATTTTGGGCCGCCCAACTCGGTCCTGGCAGCGCAAAGATCATTGCAGAACGGTGCGACCAGTCTGGGAGTCGATTTAAGCATCACGCTGGATGACGAGCTTGTCGGTGCTCACAGCTCGTCGGAATGGATTGCACACAGTGCCTTCTCAAAGCGGGCGCAGGATTTGCATACGATAACGTTCGAACAGGCAGAGTTATCACCAACTTGCGAAACATTCAAACAGTTTTACTTATCCATCGGAGTGTCAGCTGCGGAGTTGACTGGTCTCCAGGCTTGCGAGCGTCAGAGGATGAGTACAGCTGACGAGTTCTTACAAGCATTTCCAGGCATCCCGATTATATTTGATTTGAAAGCACCGTCTTGGCAAATGCAGCAACGCCAAGTCCATATTTTGTATGAGCTCCTGTGCAGAAAGTTTCCAGATCGGCATGCAGATGCTACACTTACTTCCCTTCGTCTATTCGCATTCCCAAACCAATCCAATCCCACGTATTATTTTGAAAACGTGCTTGGGTCTACAACACTTCCCTTCACGTTCAGTATCGGGGTCCCCGCGCAGCGGGAAAGCACATGGAGCAATATTGATACGCTGAGACGCAGCCTGACAAGCAGTACAGGTTCCCGGAACGGAGTGCCCCGTATATTTCTGACGCCATCAGAAATGAAAGCTGCTTCGCGCCTGTTCCGGGTCACGGGGCGCATTATAATCATTTGCGACTTGGCCGCGCATGAGCTCGACCAGGAGATCAATGCAGCACATGCAGCGGATTACCGAGACTTGCACTCGTGGACATCGGAGCTGCAAGTTTGCGTGGAAAACGGCGCTGCCGCTATCCACACTTCGAGGTTTGCTCCCGTCTTGGCAGCTCTGCGCACGTGGTCTAACTTCACCAGGCGCCCGCCGCGTAGCAAGAGTTAAGTCGGGCGTGTCCCTCTACAGGAGGAAGATTCCAAGATAGTGAAAAGATAGTCGGGGACCTATGTTTGAAGCATGTGTGAACCATGGTTGGGCATTTGGGGGGGGTATTTCTTGTCTTCCGTCCAGAATCCCCCTTCGGAGGGACAGGCCCGACTTGACGCGAGAGGAGCAGGAGCAGGCTGGAGACGGGGCCGCCACGCGCAGCCCGGCCAGCAGCGAACCGGAGCGGCTGCGAGTGGGCCGAGCTTGGGCGCCGCGTAATGGGGGGGTCATAGATGGGGGGGCGGCGAGCGTGGTCCGAAAAGGTACCCAAACGGTACCTAAACGAGCCCCCTGGGGCTCTGGAGGGGCCCGAAAGGGGCACGAAAAGGGACCTTTTCTGACCCCCCCCAGTTGTGACCCCCCCATTAAGCCACGCCCAACCGAGCCGGGCGAGGGCCCCGACGCGAGCCTGGTGCTGCTCGGCCGTGCCGAGGCGCCGGGCCGCGCGCAGAGGTTCGCGGTGGGCCCCGCCGCCTCGGGCGCGAGCACGGTGGGCCGGTTGTCCACCACCACCACCACCACCAGTTGGCGAGGGGAGGGGGTCCTCCTCTTCCTCCTCCTCCTCCTCCTCCTCCTCCTCCTCGCCCTCCTCCTCGCCCTCCTCCTCCTCCTCGTCCTCGTCCTCCACCTCCTTCCCCCCTCCAACTTCTGGCGGCGGTGGTGGAAAGCAGGCCCATCAGAGCACGTGGATGCGCTGCGCCGGGAAGCTAGCCACGGTCCTCCTGGTGGTGAGGCTCGTGGAGATCGGCATGCTCCCGGGGCTGGACGAGCCGATTGTGGAGTTCCTCCGTCTGAGCGAGACGTGGCTGGCAGAACGGAGGAACCACTCGGTCCTGCAGCGGCTGACCCTGCGGCACGTCATGGCAGGCGTCGGTGGCCTACCAAGTTATCAGTTCACGCCGTTGTGGGTGACAAAGAAGGTCATGCCAGCGTCCGAGATATGTGAGCGGGCTCTGGGTTGGGTAGATCGTGACTTCGTCCCGGGATCCAGATGGGTGTACTCCAACATGCAGTGGGCAATCGTTGAGCGCGCGGTCGAAGTTGCGGCAGGCGGCAGTTTTCCCGATGCAGCTCGCAGGTATTTGTTTGATCCACTTGGCGTCTCGACACGCACGTATCATGCGTCGGAGACCATGCCCAGTTGCTCCCATCCGAGTGCAAGCCCAGTTTATGAGCGCAACTTGCGGGCAGCGATCGGTCTCTGTTCAACGGTTGAGGATATGCTTATCGAAGACGCCTACGGCGAATCACCGCCGCCCCCTGCCTTATTGGAAGCGCCTATGTGGCCGAACGTTGAGGCCAGACCTGCCAAGCTATCGGACCATGTGTTCCCCGAATCGGTTTGGAACATGTGTTCCCCGAATCGGTTTGGAAAGCCTTCGGGGAACACATGGGCATCTTGAGGTCATCTTGGCCGTCGGGAGGCCATTTTGACCCTTTCGGGCCTTCTTGGAGGACGTCTTGGAGGCCTCTTGGGCCGTCTTGGGGGCCTCTTGGGCCCGTCTTGGGCCTCTTGGGCGATCTTTGGGGGCACTTGTGCCGTCTCGGGCCGTCGGAAGGCCGAACAAAAATCAAATGCCACAATCCTTCAAAAACTCATTGGAGATCAATGAGTTTGGCCGTTTCGGGCCTTCCTGGAGGCCCTCTTGGACTCCTCTTGGGCCGTCTTGGGCCATCTTAGGGCCATCTTCTGCCATCTTGGTGGGCTCCTGCCTCGTCTGACGCCGCCGGAAGCCGTTAGGGGGACCTCTCTGCGCCGACTTGAAACCCTCTTGGAACGCTCCAAAGCCATCTTGGAGGCCATCTTAGGCGTCTTAAAGGCCTCCTGGGCCGTCTTGGGGGCCTCTTGGGGCTGCCTTGAAGGCCTCTTGGGCCGTTCTGGGGCCATCTTGGAGGCCTCTTGGGCGATCTTTGGGCTATCTGTGGGGGCTCTTGGGCCGTCTCGGGTCGTCGAAAGGCCGAAAAGAAGCAAATGTCAAAAGCCTTCAAACACCGAAGGATAATAAGTGTATTTGGCCTCTTCTGGCCTTCCTGGAGGCCCTCTTTCAGGCCTCTTGGGCCGTCTTGGGCCAGCTTCGAGCCAACTTCGGCCATCTTGGTGGGTGTCTGGTACGTTTGACGCCGTCGGGAGCCGTCTTTGGGGCCTCTCTGAACCAGCTTGGGGCCCTCTTGGGGCGCTTCGGGGCCTTCTTGGAGGCCATCTTGGGCGTGTTGGAGGCCTCTTGGCCCGTCTTGGGACCTTCTTGGGGCCGTCTTGGGGGCCTCGGGCCGTCATGGGGCCATTTTGGAGGCCTCGTGGGCGATCTTGGGGCGATCTTGGGAGCTTCTTGAGCCGTCTTGAGCCGTCGGAAGGCCGAGAAGAAGCGGATGCCAAAATCCTTCAAAAACCGATGTGAAATCAATGACTTTGGCCTCTTCGGACCCTCCTGGAGGACCTCTTGGTGGCCTCTTGGGTCGTCTTGGGCCGTCTTCGAGGCTTCTTGGGCGAACTTGGAGATATCTTGGACTCTCTTGGGCCGTCATGAGGCCGTCTTGGACCATCTTGGGCGGACTTGGAGGCAATTTTGGATCATTTTGGAGGCCATCTTGGGCCAACATACCCATCTTGGAGGCCATCTTGAGCTGTCTTGGAGGATTTCTTTCGGGTTGGGGATTGTCCGTGTGGCTTGCGGGGCGCGCCGCAGCCCCAGGCGCCCATAGACCAGGACACAGATAAACCAGGACACGGAAAACTAAGGAAACGACATCTTTTCCTGCGAAGTCACGTTTTTCAGCACCCGTGCATGTTTTGTTTGCTGCACTGCAGGATTCGGGTGCGTGTCCGGGTTAAGGGGGGTCTTGCAGGCTTTCGGGGCCTGTGTCCGGGTTTATTATGGAAATGCTGCAGTGCAGTATTTTGTTCGTGCCGCCGTTTGGGAAAATTGGTTTCGATGGAAATTGGGTGTCCGGGTCTAGCGTGTCCGGGTCTACGGGGCCCTGACCCAGGGGGAGTTCTTCTGGAAAAGAACCAAAACCAAAACCGAGAGGATCCAGCACGCCAGGCACCCCTGTGATGAATCAACAGGGGGCGGCGGATTCTCGGCGATGCCGTACGTACCGCTGCATTCGAGGATGACGACGGTCCACCATCGCGTGGGTCTGCTTTTTTGTCGGTTCAAGGGGTCCAAGAAGTAGTGCTGGATCAATTGCACCACAGATTTCCTGCAGCGCTTCCGATGTTCTTGAACACTGCTCCCGCAACAGACTTCTGTGTGAGAGGAATGCAGTGGACTGGCCGAGGATTTGCCGGCTATTATTGGGCAAATGATTGGCTTGTTGTATATGGAGGGGCGCCAGCATTCTGGGGTCAGAGAATCCTTCTGCGCGTCGAGAACGGAGTTGGAACAGGGCGAGTTCTGGCACAATGGGTTTCTGCGCCGACGGTTCCCAAAAGCACGCAGGCCTTTGTAGAGCGCCTGTTTCACACATTTACTGCGGCACCTGAGAAGTTCAGCTCCCTGATGCTGGGTTGCCAACCCGGCGCGCACGTCAATCAATCGAGCACAATTTTGAGAGATTCACCATTTGTGACGACCGCGGAAGGAAGAACAACAAAAAAACGTGACCATCTTTGAGGCCATCTTGAGCCGTCTTGGAGAGTTTGATGCGTTCGTTGAGGTGGTCGCGGGACCTTTCTGGGACCCCGGCGGGATCGGCCGAAGCCCCAGGGGGAGATCTTTTGGAAAAGGATCAAAACCAAATTCGAAAGGATCCAGCATGCCGGGCACCCTTGTGGCGAGCCAACAAGGGGGCGGCGTAGCAGCCATCGGGCCACGCGTTCCCCGAGTGGGTTTCGGAAGCTTTCGGGGAACACGGAGTTGGGCGAGCTATCGGACCAGGTGGTTTCCGAGCTTTCGGGTTTCCTGGAGGACGTCTTGGAGGGCTCTTGGGCCGTCTTGGAGGCCTCTCGCGGGCCGTTTGGGCCATCGTAGGCCATCTTGCGGCCATCTTGGGCAGTCTTAGGTGCATCTTGGGGCCATCTTCGCAGCCTTGGAGGCATCTCGAAGGCCATCTTGGCCGTCTGGATGCCATTCTGACCCTTTCGGGCCTACGTCTTGGAGGACTCCTGGGCCGTCTTGGAGCCCTCTTGCGGGCCTTTTGGGCAGTCTAAGGCCATCTTGAGGCCATCTGCGGCCGTCTTGGGTGCATCTTGGGGCCATCTTCACTGTCTTGGAGGCCTTCTTGGCCGTCTTGGAGAAATCTTGGAGGCCATCTCGGCCGTGTTGGAGGCCATCTTCGGCGTCTTGGGGGCCATCTTGGGCCGTCTTGGGTCCTTCTTGGGGTCCTCTTGGGAGTCTCTTGGGTTGTCATGGGGCCATCTGGGAGGCCTCTTGGGCGCTCTTGAGACAATGTAGGGGGCCTCTTGGGCAGTTTTGGGCCGTCGGAGAGCTGATAAGAAGAAAATGCCAAAATCCTTCAAAACCCACGGGAGAGTCAACGCTTGTTGCCATTTCGGGCCTTCCTGGAGGACGTCTTGGAGGGCTCTTGGGCCGTCTTGGAGGCCTCTTGCGGGCGTCTTAGGCCATCTTGAGGCCATCTTGGGCAGTCTTGGGTGCATCTTGGGGCCATCTTCGCAGTCTTGGAGGCATCTCGAAGGCCATCTTGGCCGTCTGGATTCATTTCTGACCCTTTCGGGCCTTCCTGGATGACGTCTTGCAGGACTCCTGGGCCGTCTTGGAAGCCTCTTGCAGGCCTTTTGGGCAGTCTAAGGCCATCTTGAGGCCATCTGCAGCCGTCTTTGGTGCATCTTGGGGCCATCTTCGCTGTCTTGGAGGCCTTCTTGGCCGTCTTCGAGGCATCTTGGAGGCCATCTTGGCCGTCTTGGAGGCCATCTTCGGCATCTTCGGGGCCATCTCGGGCCGTCTTGGTGCCTTCTTGGGACCCTCTTGGGGGCCTCTTGGGCTGTCATGGGACCATCTAGAAGGCCTCTTGGGCCGTCTTAGGCCGTCGGAGAGCTGATAAGAAGAACATGCCACAAGCCTTCAAAACCTCAGGGACAATCAATGAATGGTGCCCTGTCGGGCCTTCCTGGAGGACGTCTTGGAGGGCTCTTGGGCCGTCTTGGAGGACTCTTGCGGGCCGTTTGGACCGTCTTAGGCCACCTTGAGACCACCCTGGGCCGTCTTGGGTGCATTTGCGGGCCACCTTAGCCGTCTGGACGGCCATCTTGGGCGTCTTGGAGGCTTTTTGAAGACCATCTTGGCCGTCTTGGAGACTATCTTGGTCGTCTTGGGGGCCGTCTTGGGGCCGTCCTGGGGCCTTCTTGGGGCCCTCTTGGGGGCCTCTCGGGCTGTCACGGGGCCATCTTGGAGGCCTCTTTGCCGTCTTGGGGCGATGCTGAGGTGCCTCTTGGGCCGTCTTGGGCCGTCGGAGAGCTGATACTAAGAATATGCAAAAGGAGCAAATGCCCAAATCCGTCAAAACCCTTTTTGGAAATTCAATGATTTGAACTGGGCCTTCCTGGAGGACGTCTTGGAGGGCTCTTCGGCCGTCTTGGGGGCCTGTTGCGGGCATTTTTGGACAGTCTTAGGCCATCTTGAGGCCATCTTGGGCCGTTTTGAGTGCATCTTCGGGCCATCTTGGCAGCCTTGGAGGCCATCTTGGCCGTCTTGGAGGCATCTTGGAAGCCATCTTGGCAGTCTTGGAGGCAATATGGGGCTTCTTTGGGGCCTCTTGGGCTGTCTTGGGGCCCTCTTTGCGCCGTCTTTGGGGCCTCTTGGGCTGTCATGGGGCCATCTTGGAGGCCTCTTGGGCGCTCTTGGGACGATGCTGGGGGCCTCTTGGGCCGTCTTGGGCCGTCGGAAGGCCGAAAAGGAGCAAAGCCAGAATCTTTCAAGGACCAAAGGGAAATCAATGATTTTGACCTCTTCGGGCCGCCCTTGAGGACCCTGGAGGACCCCTTCGGGGCCTCTTGGGCCGTCTTGGAAGCCTCTTGGTGGCATCTGGGGCCGTCTTGGGCCGTCTTAGGTGTTTCTTGTGCGAACTTGGAGGCATCCTTTGGGCCGTCTGCGAGGCCATCTTGGCTTGGACCATCTTGGGCGAGTTTGGAGGCCATCTTGGGCCATCTTGGCCATCTTGGAGCCGTATGGAGCCGAAGAACCTTTTGCAACCACCTGTTGCGCGTCCCTCTAGGTGGCCGGAGGGACGGGCCGAAGCCCTAGGGGAGCTCTTCTGGAAAAAACAAAACCAAATTCGAAAGGGTCTAGCACGCCGGGCACCCCTGTGGCAAGCCAACAGGGGGCGGCGGATCGAAGACGCCTACGGCGAATCACCGCCGCCCCCTGCCTTTTTGGAAGCGCCGATGTCCTGCCAAGCTATCGGACCATGTGTTCCCCGATTCGGTTTGGAAAGCCTTCGGGGAACACGTGGGCATCTTGAAGGTCGTCTTGGCCGTCTGGAGGCCATTTTGACCCTTTCGGGCCTCCTTGGAGGACGTCTTGGAGGGCTCTTGGGCCGTCTTGGAGGCCATCTTGACCGTCTTGGAGGCCTCTTGTGCCGTCTTGGGGGCCTCTTGGGGCCGTCTTGGGCCTCTTGGCCATCTTTGGGGGCACTTGGGCCGTCTCGGGCCGTCGGAAGGCCGAAAACAGCAAATGCCACAATCCTTCAAAAACCGATTGGAAATCAATGATTTTGGCCTTTTCGGGCCCTCTTGGAGGCCTCTTGGGCCGTCTTGGGCCATCTTAGGGCCATCTTCGGCCATCTTGGTGGGCTCCTGGCCCGTCTGACGCCGTCGGAAGCCGTCTTGGAGGCCATCTTGGGCGTCTCAAGAGCCTCCTGGGTCGTCTTGTGGGCCTCTTGGGGCCGTCTTGGGGGCTTCTTGGGCCGTTCTGGGGCCATCTTGGAGGCCTCTTGGGCAATCTTTAGGCGATCTGTGGGGGCTATTGGGCCGTCTCGGGCCTTCGAAAGGCCGAAAAGAAGCAAATGTCACAATCCTTCAAAAACCTATGGAAAATCATTGTGTTTTGCCTTTTCTGGCCTTCCTGGAGGCCCTCTTGGGCCGTCTTGGGCCAGCTTCGAGCCAACTTCGGCCATCTTGGTAGGTTCCTGGCCCGTCTGACGCCGTCGGGAGCCGTCTTGGGTCCTCTCTGAACCGGCTTGGGGCCCTCTTGGGGCGCTTCGGGGCCGTCTTGGAGGCCATCTGGGGCGTCTTGGAGGCCTCTTGGCCCGTCTTGGGGCCCTCTTGGGGCCGTCTTGGAGGCCTCTTGGGCCGTCATGAGGTCGTCTTGGAGGCCTCGTAGGCGATCTTAGGGCGATGTTGGGGGCCTCTTGGGCCGTCTTGGGCCTTCGGAAGGCCGGAAAAACGCAAGCGCCAACATCTTTCAAAACCCCAGGGGGAATCAATGATTTTGGCCTCTTCGGGCCCTCCTTGAGGACCTCTTGGAGGCCTCTTGGGTCGTCTTGGGTCGTTTTGGAGGCTTCTTGGGCGAACTTGGAGGTGTCTTGGACTCTCTTGGGCCGTCTTGGAGGCCGTCTTGTTCCATCTTGGGCGGACTTGGAGGCCATCTTGGGCCAACGCGGCCATCTTGGAGACCATCTTGAGCCGTCTTGGAGGAATAATTGGGGGATTGAGATCCTGGAAGATCTTTCCGGGTGGCCGGCGGGACGGGCCGAAGCCCAAGGAGCGTTCTTTTGGACAAAAACCAAAACCAAATCCGAAAGGGTCAAGCACGCAAAGCACCCCTGCGATGAATCGACAGGGGGCGGCGGATCGAACACGTCTTCGGCGAATCACCGCCGCCCCCTGCCCTTTCGGAAGCGCCTGTGGGGCCGAACGTTGTGGCCAGAGGCCTGCCAAGCTATCGGACCATGTGTTCTCCGCTTCGGTTTGGAAAGCTTTCGGGGAACACGTGGGGGAGAATGAACATGAAAAGGAAGAGGAAGAGGCCTCTTGGGCTGTCTTGAGCCGTCGGAATGGCGAGAAGAAACACTTTAAACGTCCTTGAAACACTTAGGGAAAATGACTGATTTTGGTATCTTCGGGTCCTCCTGGAGGACCTCTGGGAGGCCTCTTCGGCCGTCTTGGAGGCCTCTTGGGGGCCTCTTCAGCCGTCTTGGGCAATATTGACGCCATGTTAGGCCGTCTTGGAGGCAATATGGGCCGTCTTGGAGGCATCTTGGGGGGCGTAGCTATCGGACCATGTGTGCCCCGAGTCGGTTTGGAAAGCCTTCGGGGAACACTTGGGGGAGGAAGAGGAAGAGGAGGAGAAGGAAGAAAAAGGAGAAGGGGGATGATGCCTCTTCGGGGCCTCGTGAGGCACTCTTTGGCTCGATCGGGCCATCTTGGGACCGTCTTGGAGGCCATGTTGGTGCTATCTTGGGCTCTCTTAGAGCCTCTTGAGGGCCTCCCGGGGCCTTTGGGGGACTTCTCGGGGGCCTCGTTGGCCGTCTTAGGGCGTTCCTGGCCCGTCTGACGCCGTCGGGAGCCGTCTTGGGGGCCTCTCTGATGATTTTGGCCTCTTGGGGCCCTCCTGGAGGACCTATTGGAGGCCTCTTGGGCCGTCTTGGAGGCCTCTGGGGGGCCTCTTGGGCCGTCTTGGGCCGTCTTGGACTCTCTTGGGTCGTCTTGGAGGCCGTC